TTATTCTTCTCTCGTCTTCCTCCTCATCCACTTTCACACGAGAAGGTGGTGTTAGGGGTTTCTGATCGGACGTGGAATATCGAAATGCAGCGGCGGAGGGTTACTGTTATCTTTATGGGGTGTAGGGTCCCCGTCTTGGGGTGGCCAGATAGAGATCAGGGGGGCGCTCCGTTTTTCCAGACGCGAAACCCCTGCGCGTCCCCCGCTCTCGCGCGCCCCGCCGGGCCGCGGGCGGGGAAGGGGACCGTGGGGCCGGAAAGGGAGTGGGGAGTGGGCTTCCCTCCCCCTCATTTCCCCGCCAGCCCCCCATCTAGATAGAGGAGAAGAGATGGGCAGGAGAGGACTTCCGGTCCCGAAAAGAGAGGTGAATGGTCCTCGTCCAAGTGCTGAAGAGGCTGAAAGCTCTGCAACCAGGATTTCTGAAAGCCCTTTGCTGGGGGGAGGACGCGCTTTGTGCTGTTTGTTCCCTACTTCTCCGGGGAGCCAGGGAACACCTGCGTGCCCGGTTCGCCTCTGAGCAACTGCAGCAGTTGTGTCCTAGTTGCAATAACACGCTGGGTTAAACACATGATATAAATATTGTGCCCTGCACGATGGGGAGACCAGGAGAAAGCCTTCTCCTAAACGTCGCTTTCCTCAAGTAGAATTAAGCAGGCTACCCAGTGGGACAAAAGGCCCGAGAGGCAGCCGAAGGGCCCCCTTGCTCTTCCCTCCTCAGGTAGATGGCCAATAGGAAGTCACCCAGTTCATCAGCGCTTCCTACAGCTCTCAGTCAATAAATACTGAATGTCCACTGCTTGCCAACTGAGCCCAGGGGATCAAAAACTCACGCCCCTCACCTGATGAAGTTCAACTTTATTCAGTCAATAATATTATTGGCTGCCTATTGTGTGTCAGACACTGAGGACAACAGCCATAAACAAAACCCCTGCCCTCCAACGGCTGATATTCTAGTGCAGATGATACCGGCATGAAACAATAGATAATATGTCAGTAGTGATCAATGCTTTGGAGGAAAAAGAACGAAAATCCAGGGTGCAATGTTTTCATGTTAGATAGGGTTGAAGGAAAGCCTCGCCGAGAAGGTGACATTTGAGCAAAGACCTCCAGAAGGTGAGGGAGGAAGCCGGGCAGAAAGAACATTCCAGATAAAGGAGACAGCAAGGGCAAAACCCAAAGGCAGAGCATGCCTGGTGTGCTCAAGGCCCAGCCATGCAGGAAAGAAGTAACACCATAGTTCATCGAAGACACACATCTTTTACATGTTAACTTTTCAGAAGTCAGGTGTGTCTTATAATGCATCTAAGACTTACTGAAATATAGTCATGCCTTGTTGGGTTATTAATTAAGCTTGCTGTTCAATGGAATTAGTTCTGCTGTTTCTAAGAAACTTACAGTCCAGACGAGGCAATAAAACAACTCAAAAAGTCTGTTTGAGACATTCATGAGAAAGCCAGTCCATGGCCATGGTTCAGGCAACATCAGGAGACAGGAGGAAAGGTCCTGGCAGCGGCCTGCGATCCCAGGCACAGGGGGGCGAGGGTGATGGTGGCAGGCTGTCAGGGCAAAGTGGCACCGAAACAGGGCAAGGTTTGGAGCAGCTTAGGTGTTGAGAAGCAGAGAGCGCTGAGAGAGAAGAGTGCTGGGCAAAGGGGTGGGGAGAGAGTCAGGAAAAAGCATGGGTGGAGCCCCGTGGCTGCTTGTTTGAAGCCTAGAACTCTTATTAGAGAGAATTGGGAGGGAGAGAGGAGAAGGAATGTTGGGACCCACTTGGGGAAGGCTTTGGACGTATTTGGGCTTTTTCCCCAAAGGGAAGGGGCAGGAGAGGGGAGGGAATGTGTACCAGACTTGGTTGGTAGCAGCTGAGGACACAAAGGTCGGTGTGATCAGAGGAAATATAAGCCCTTTAATGTCACAGCCTTCCTTCACCTCACCTCTTAGCTGCACTTAGACCATGCGGTGGTGATAGGTATTGATAGGACAAGGGGAGCGAGCCCCAGACAGGAAGCTGGAGGTGCTGTCTGGATTCATATGGCAAAGACAGAATGTTCCTGGCCTAAGACATGGAAAGATCCAGAAGGGGAAAGGGCTGCAACACAAGGGAGTCTGAGGTTGCACCACGGCTGTGTACTTTATGAGCGGTTAGAGCAGTGGTTCTCAACCTTCCCAATGCCGCGACCCTTTAATACAGTTCCTCATGTTGTGGTGACCCCCAATTTCATTGTTACAAATTGAACATAATTAAAGCATAGTGATTAATCACAAAAACAATGTAATTATATATGTGCTTTCCCATGGTCTTTGGCGACCCCTGTGAAAGGGTCGTTCGACCCCCAAAGGGGTTGCGACCCACAGGTTGAGAACCGCTGGGTTAGAGTGCGTGGAGAGAGATTTTCGGAGCAACTCCCATGGAGCTGAGAAAGAGCAAACGTGTATCTTAGAAAGGTTTCTTCTGTGTGGCAAATGGGATCTTCCCTTCAACATGATTTCCCAGACTTAGACAAGATATAAATGACTTTTCAGTGATTTGGGTTGTTACACTGGTGTTTCATTTAATTTTTCTCCCTGATGATACTGGCCTCAAGGTCAGACACAGTGAGGGGGGCAGACACATACAACAGCCACTGAGAGGGACCATGTGGTGAGTATGCAGTACAGGGTGTGCAGATGGCCCATCATCGTGGACAAGTGGGTGAGGGGGGCTATTTCTGCCGGGAGCAGGGCAAGAGGTGAGGAAGGAAGGTAACATTTAAAGTTGGAGTTTACTAGGCTCAGCAAATGGCAAGGTAAAAAGGCATGGACATTTGGGGCATTTTGCAAGGAAGGGTGAGGTGTCTGGGGAGAGTGGCACAGAGGGGACTTAGGAAGACCCTGCTTCAAGGCGGGAGACCTAAGTTGGAGGCAGATGTGCAGAGGCTGAGTTTGTGCCTAACCTCATCCAATAGGAACAACTCTGGAAGCATTTCTACTGGAGCAGGAAGCTTAATGAGACAGCGCCCGGTCCTTGATTGCGGAGTCTGCGTACAGTCTGAAACTTGACTACTTCCATTTAAATTCAGGCTCTACCATTTGCTAGCTGTATAACTTTGGGAAAATCACAGATTCTCTCTCTCTCTCTCTCTCTCTCATCTATAACATGAAATGATGGGTACCTACCTCCCTGGGTTGCTTTAAGGATTGAGTAGATACATGTCAAGCTTTTAGAAGTATACTTGACACATAGTAAGTGCTCAATCTTATCCTATATAACAGTGGTTCCCAAACTTATTTGGCCTACCGCCCCCTTTCCAGAAAAAATATTACTCAGCGCCCCCTGGAAATTAATTTTTTAAAAAATTTTAATAGCAATTAAACAGAAAGATATATGTATTAATGTTTCTACCTTTTTCGTAAAATATAGTAAAGAAAGGTGTAAATTAGAAACATTGAAGTTTGAAATTATGAAACTATTTATTGAACTCAGAATAGAAAGGTGATACAAAAAAAGTTAAAACAAATGCACCTGTGGCCATCACCGCCCCCCTGGATCGCTGCAGCGCCCACTAGGGGGCGGTAGCGCCCACTTTGGGAATCACTGCTATATAATAAAGAGCTAATATGCAAATGGTTGTCATGCCCTTGTGCCCTTGCACCCTTGTGCCCTCACACCAGGGCCGGGGGACCTGAGGCTTCACTCCCCGCCCTGTGGGGCTTGACAGGGGTGGGGCCAACTGGGTCTGGGTCTCACGCAATTTTGAGGCGCGCACTGGTGGGTGGGGATTCGACTCTGGGTCCCGCGGTGCGCCCCAGACCCTGACAGGAGGGAGATTTTCATATACATTTTACTAATTTTCTTTCATCTCTGACACTTCTATGATAGAGAAAGGGCAAATAGCAACATTAAAATATTTCCTCTAATTCCCTTTTAATGTGCACGAATTTCATGCACTAGGCCACTAGTCTCTTTATAAAGCATGATGCCCCTAAAGTGCCATGGTATATATTTCAGACATCTTAGATTCCTTAAAAAAAAATTTTTTTTTAAAGAGGCAGAAATTTAAAATAAAACTCTAAACATGGTTTTCCTTGCTTTTGGTGCCCTTGAGAAAACACTTCACAATGTTATATGGAGCTTGCACTGGGCCCTTCCTGCATCTCACTGCCGGGACCCTGAGAGGAGTGCTTCCCGTAGTATTGTGGGTGTCCTGCCGGCAGGACCCACTCTGGAGCACAGGGAGATGCAGTTGAATTAATGATGCCAGGGGGCAGCAGGGAGCTGTGCGGGACCACTTTACAGCAGAGTGAGTGGCGTGATCGAATGTGGGTTTGGGATCAACCAAAGGACCTGTATAGCATGCACATGAGCATAACCAATGGACACAGACACTAGGGGGGTGAGGGCATGTGGTAGGGGGTGGGAGCGTCCGGGGAGAGGTCAACTGGGGGGAGGGGGGGAGGAAACTCATGTAATACTTTAAACACTAAAGAATTTAAATTTTAAAAAATGTGGGTTTGGGGAAGATCATTCTGGCTACCTCATAGAATAGACTAGAAGAGGGATGAGACTAGAAAGAGGAGGCCCACTGCAGGGTTGTTGCAGAATTGTAGGTCACCTTGACTTCCCTTTCCCTTGTTTCCCAACCTATTTTCCTAAAAAAGCTCCCCAAACTCACATCAAGGCCCAGCTCAACAAGGTGGTGCCAGCACCCATTAGGACCAGCCCTGAGTGCCCAGGTGGGCAAGGCTGATCTCAGTTCTTGCTGTGGCCCCTACGGCAGCCTACGGATGAATTGCTTGTTGATTTGAACTGGTCTTTTTTTTTTTAAATATATATTTTTATTGATTTCAGAGAGGAAGGGAGAGGGAGAGAGATAGAAACATCAATGAGAGAGAATCATTGGTTGGCTGCCTCCTGTAGGCCCCACACTGAGGATCAAGCCTGCATCCCAGGCATGTGCCTTCACTGGGAATCTAACTGTGACCTCCTGGTTCATAGGTTGAAGCTCAACCACGGAGCCACGCAGCTGGGCCGAACTGGTCTTTTGTTGGTGACGTTTCAACTCCCCAGGTACTGGCTAAATATTCTCCAAATCCTCCAGTGGAAGAAGGCAATTCTTTAACCATCAAGGGCTAATTTGTCTTAGTATTTCTGTTGCTTCTGGGGCTCATGTAATAACAGAGCAGGGATTCCGCCCAGGCCTTGGAACTATGGTACCAACTCTTTGCCTTCAAGTTCCAACTTAGCTGTGTTAAGCTCTTTTCTCAGACTCTGTAGGGTGGGCATCAGGATTGGCCATTGAAAATCTCAGTGACTTGCAGCCTGGGTTTCAGTCCTAACTTTATCACCTAATGACCTTGGGGAAAATTTTAACCTCTCAGTACTTCTCTTTCAGAAAATCGGAGATATCTATCAAAGATATTAAATAAAAACTTATGTCCAAATACTTGCATAAAAACATTTGTAGCAGCATTATTCACAATAGCCAAAAGGGGGAAACCTAAATGTCCATCAACTGGTGAATGGATAAACAAAATGTATTACAACAGCATACTATTCATCAATAAAGAGGGACAAAGTTCTAGAAAACGAAGAAAAATCATTACAATAAAATTTTTAAAAAGGAACAAAGTTCTGAAACATGCTACAACACGATGAACCTTGAAAGCATTATGCTAAATGAAAGAAGCCAGTCACAAAAGGCCAAATATTATCTGATTCCACCAATATGAAATGTCCAGACAAGGCAAACTCAAAAAGACAGAAAGTAGCATTAATGGCTGCCCATGGCTGGGGGAGGTAAAATGGGGGAGTGACTGCCTGCAAGTGGACACAAGGTTTGTTTTTAGGGTGATAGAAATGTTCTAAAATTAGACTGCGGTGATGGTATATAACTCTGTAAGTATACTGAAACTCATTGAATTGTATACTTAAAACTAGTTAATTTTATGTAAAACTTCTCAATAAAGCTGTTAAAAAAAAACTGAGCCTGGCATAAAGTGCTCAATACATTTTTGATGTTATATAGGCTTCTTAAGCACATAAAGGGAAAGATACTTATATTTAAAATTTCATTATAAAGTTCTATTATTTTTGAAGGGTCTATAAGAAGTATAATATAAACAACACATTCTATCAAGGATATTAGCTCACTAGCAATAAATGCCACCTCTCCAACCAACCAATGCCCCTTTTCGTTGGCCAAAACACTTCTGTTTTATTAGGAAGTCCAATTAAGTGCATCTTCAGACCAGATGCAACTATCACCCCATTAGGGGCATAATAGTAACATGATAGGAGGAGGAGGAGGAGGAGGAGGAGGAGGAGGAGGAGGAGGAGGAGGAGGAGGAGGAGGAGGAGGAGGAGGAGGAGGAATTGAGGACATTCAACTCTTGAATGGGGTTGAATGAGGATGCCATGAAGCAAGATCTGGGCATATAGGAAAAAGATGTTTTGGGGAAAAAACAAGAGTTAATAAGGGCACCCAGGTAGAGATGTCCATTAGCCAAGTTTCACAAATTTTAATGTGTATACGAATTTGTGGATCTTGTTGAAAGTAAAATTCTGATTAAGTCCGAGGTCACCCAAGAGTCTACATTTCTAAAAAACTACTAAGTGATGCTGATCCTGATCGATAGACCACACTTGGAGCAAAAGACATTAGGTCATTGAAGACAGGCTTATATCTTATCTCAATAAATGAAATTTTAAATAATCAAATCCCTTCGTTTCCATTCTTCACTTCCTGTAGGAAGAGCATTCTTCCCCACCCATCGCTGTCTGATTTGCACTGTCTTCCCAATTATTTTCCCCCATTGACATTAGGCTTGGCTGTGTGACTTATTTTTGGCTAATGGAATGTGATAGTAGTGACTGAGTGCCAGGTCCATTCATAAGCTTTAGGAACCATTGCAAGGTCCAACTCTGCATCTTTTCCCTCTTCCATTAGGAGAACAAGTCCAATATTTATTCAGCCCAGATATAAAAATGAAGAAAACCCATGGACCACACATGGCCTTTGGCCAGGAACAGAGCTGCCACCAACCTGGGAGCGACATGTAACAAGAGCAAGAGATAAGGTTGTTGTTTTAGCTACTGAGACTGGGGGTGGGGGGGAGTGTCATTTGTGACTGCAGTATATAACCTAGCAAAAGCTGACTAATAAATTCTCTCAGCTATTAATGAAATAAGGCTAAGTAGGAAATAGAAGAGCTAAAATAAATGTGTATTTTAGAAGTTATTAGATTTCCTAATATATCCTCTTTATGGATACCAAGAATATATAGAATGAGATTGCAGGCTTACAGTAAACCTTGAGATTCTCTGAATGCAAGTTATCAGAATTTTAAGAGAGTATCAGCCTTGGAATGACAATTCTGGCTCAGCCATTCTTCCTGTGAATTTGAACGAGTCACGGCCCCTCTGCTGTCCACATAAATGAGGAAAGTGAAGTACTAAGTGCTTTATGGGGTTCTGTAGTGATTTGCTGAATCTGGCTTGTATCAGCGTATTAGAGCCAATTGTTAAATTTTCAGGAATTATGTGAACCAGTTGTTAAACACTAATTATTGAAAATTGAATTACATAACTTATATTGTATTAAAAACAAAAGTAATAAATACAGCAAGCCCTTGCTTTATGTGATTCCGATCTGCACAGGTTTTAGTTAAAATGACATCAGTCTGCAACAATGTGGTTCAAATGTTAGTTACCACAGTATATGTATTTTACCACGAGTGATTGCATGAAGAACAAACTTTGCCATTGGCTCTTCAGTCCATAAATCACTATATAAATAATAAATGCACTTCATGATCAGTGACCAATCACATCACTTCTTTCAAAGATGACCACTGGTGGTGATCAATTGCCGCTCACATGTTCTTCAGTTCATGCACAGAAGTTTCCTTTGCTGGACAGGAAATGATCCATACATTTTTTGGACTATGTGGCAAGTCTACATGGCAGTGGAAGAATGGATGGATGAATGCCTTCTGTTGATTCTATGATAAACCAACTACATCTAAGTAGTTCTTTAAGAATTCACTGAGGCTTGAAATCCTTCCTCACATTTTCAAAATCTACTTACAAAAGTTAGAAAAATTTCACATTACATTATCAATTTTCATGGGACATGGTCCACACTGCCGCTATTTCTACTTTATTGCCTTTTAAGTTCTTATAGGACCAAACTTGAAAGAAAAATTACTAGAGAACCATTTCTCCCCCTGCTGGTCATACTATAATATAGCAATACTGTCAAAACTGAAAGAAAACTCAAAGGATAAACTATTCCAGCAAACTGGCTATCCAAAAAGTAACTTTGGCATGCAGATGCACACAAAGGAATACTATACAGCAATGAGGATAAATGAACCACAACTACACACAACATGGGTGTATCTTACAAATAAAATGTTGAACAAAAAAAGCCAGACACCACAGTGCATATATATATATGTTATGCTTCACTTAAAAGTTTACTGAGATATCAAGAATATATGGTGTGTGCTCCCTCCACCCTCCCCCCCAACAAAACATTCCTACTGATGCTGCTACTCAAATTAGATCCTTGAAGTGTGAGGTGGTATTTGAGAATATAACCCAAATTCACCTACTATAACCACAATCTTTTGAAGTCTCATGTTTTATATCTTAAAATTTCATGTGAACTCCCTAATTTTCCTCCACGCACACTTAACAGAAATATTTACCTCAAACAAATTTAAGAAAATAATATTTCAATGAAATGGACCATGGGTACGGCGTGGCTGCAGTACTCAGACTTCAGTTTTAAAAGAACCAGTGAAGCTGGGGTATGGTGACTGGGACAAAGAGGTAAAGGGATTAAGAAGTACTTACATAATAGTCACAGGGAGGTAAAGTGCAGAATTGGAAATACAGTCATTAATATGTGATAGCTTTGTAAGGTGCCAGTTGGTAACTGGAAATATCAAGGGGAACACTGTGTAAAGTATATGATTGTCCAACCTTTACGGCGTATACCTGAAACCAATACAAAATACTGAAAGTAAACTGCAATTGAAAAATAAAAAGAACTAGTGGAAAGTGAACTAGTTAAACAGCCTGGTTCATATCCCAGATTCACCATTCACTAGCCATGTGACTTTGGTCAACTTACCTAGATATTTTGACCTATTTCCTCATTTCTATAATGAAGATAATAATACCTATCTCACACAAATGGTTTTGAGAATTAACTGAGAGAAGTTAGGTTCTAAATGCTACTAGCCAATCCCTTCCCTACCCTATAAGCAGTCCTGGGTTGGAAAAAAAGTCAACAAGCTGTTTGCTGCAATATATATATTTTAATTCAAAGTGAATCGACAGTAATACACCATAAATTCTTATTTTGACACTCACCAAAATAGTCACCTGGAAAACCCGCTTTTTGTGACAAAGTACAGAAGGCTTGGTCACATTTAAATCACTGAGAACTAGAGAGAAATACTATCGCAAACCGTAATAGACATTACATCCATAAAAATTTTCCCAGTCCTTATTGTAATATTGCACAGTGCAATTGCTACATGGCAAACTAGTGTAGCATAGAAAAGCAAAAACAAACAAACCAAAGAAAGAAAGCCACAAGTCTAAGATTGTTAAACAGTTAACAGTTCAAACTTAGTAATCAAATCTATCATTGGTTCATTAAAACAAATCCTCCTACACCTTGCAGTGTATGATTTAACTTTTACTTAACGCAAACAAAGTTTAAAATAAGTAGTAGAGATTTTTAAAATGAAAAGGCTTTGCTACTACAGTAACATACTTAAACACCCTGAAGAAAAAAGTAAACTAAATATCAGGATATTTGATAAAAAATAATTTGTAAATTAAAATAGTATGCAAATATGCAACTTGAAATTCATGCAGTGTTTTATTTAAGAAAGTATTAAAAAACAAAGAAAACTGGTAAAAATGGCTTCAATGAAGGTATAAATCCAAACCTTTTTTGTCAATATGCTTTAGGCTTTAACAGGATTTTAACATTTTTCATTTTTAAACACATAAAAAGCCCATGATTAGAATCAGTTCAGAGTGATGTACTTAACTGGGGTATGCCTTTATCAAGCATTACTATTATATTATGAAAACATTGAAGTTTATCATTTACTGTCCACTTAACAAGACCATCGTAGTCTTGGAACTGAAAAACAGAAAATAGGACATTTCAGGGTAGTGAAAATGGCCCTGAATAAAAAGCAAACTGCGCCAGTTTTGTACCTGTTGTGGTACAAACATCAGTCGATCCTTTGCACCTGTTTCTGGTGCATCCGCTGCCAGCACTGATTCTTTTCCAAGAAGTGAACAGATACCAGTAATCTGCTGGACCATATAAATAAAATTAGAAGGCTGTGGAGGGCAACGACGTTTACTTAAATAGTGACTCCATAAATTTGCCATCTGTAAATAATCTTTTAAATTAATCTTAGGCTACTCTTTTTTATGTGTAATATATACATATTTCTATTTATATAAAATGCATAGAATTGATTACTAAAAACACTGAAACTTGTGGGGAAAATTAAGTCCTTCATTTTCAGTGTGACTAAAAATGTACTGCTGGTTTTTATTTTATGATCTAATACTGTAAATTTTAAAATCAATTTCAGGCACATTTATTTCACTGATTATTAAATAAAACACTGCTTGTGTTAATGGAGTAAAGAAAAGTTTGTCCATCATTAGCTTATTGTCAACACTGTACTAGAGCTGTACTAGTGGTATGCAATTCATTTATCAAAGAAATGCTATAAATCCAAAACATTTGGAGAGCTTTACACTCAAATGCTTTGTACTGTTTATTCCAGTAAATGCTGTACGATTATATTCCAGATTTTTAAGGAAAAAAAGTTAAGTCAAGCCTGCAAGATACAGCTTTCTCAAGTGTCTACAATGCCAGTATGAAAATAAAAAATTAAGTTACATTGATACATCCAAGTTTTTATATGCAGTGATGAGCACAAACATTAATAGATAAAATACTGATGCAATTAACACACCCAAAATAACATATGCAATTATTTTCCATCATTTACAATACAGTAGTTACAATGACACTCCAAACAGAAAAGCAAAGTAAAAAATCAAAACCCCAACTTCTATTTCATGTAATTAGACTTATACAGAAATTAGAAGGCTACGTAACAACTAGTTAATCACCTAATTTCACAGCTATCTGAAGTGGCAATCGTTATATAGCAGCTTATCTATGATACATTCAAGATAAATGATACAATTTATTACTTGCCCATAAGCTAAAACACGGCCTGTTTAATACCTTTCCTTACATTCCACCTCTACACTACAATATACTTGAGGTCTATGCAAAAAGTAGCTACCTTTTATATAGGAAATGGATGATTAAGTCTTTGGTGCTGTAAAGCAACTTCATTTAAACATCACCACCATCACCAAAAAAACGAAAGAGAGAGTAAGAAAGGAAAAACCCAAGACATACTTCCTAGGAAGAAATGCATGTAATTTCTGTCCCTGACGGAATGTATTAAAAATAAGCAAACACCACCAACAAGCAAACAAGTACTACAATGTAAAAATACTTTAAAAAAAAAACCAAAACCCTCACATGCATAAATGAAAAATTGCACACAAAGAACTCACATCTTTTCAAGCTTCAACAGTAAATATTTTGCTACTACTTATTAAATACTGCATGGTTTTCCCAAGCTAAGATGAAACCACATCATGAATCAATGAGCAATTTGCATTTTCTTTCATTATCTACTCAAAGTCATGCCTACTGCACCTCTAAATATTTTATTAAATCCAATTATACAGCAAACACTCCCAAAATAAACTTAGATTGTATAGCAGTTTTACTTAACTGTATATAAAATGCTGTGTTGTGACAGATATCAACTATCCATTAGATACTGAATCAGTTTTTCTTAAGCACTACTAACTGCTTGCTTTTCTTGAAGCTAGGTCATTCTGAAAATTCAGAGAGCAGAATTCAGCTACGCGAACATGCTGCCCTCTTAGTAAGGAAAAAACAGCTACAACCTGAAATCATACCACACAAAACCGAAAATGAACATTACTCTATCAAAAGAAAACTAAAGAGTAGGTCTGACTTTTAAGTGCTGCAGTCCTCAACATTTATATATAGGTAATAACATTAACAACCTCAAATATTTAAGGCACTATGTGTGGGAACGGTTTACAATGCAGCTGAGATTATTAGAACAACATTTAAGAGCAAAGTCGAGGCAACATTTTGCCCATGCAAAGACACATGCAAATGTAAGGAACAATAGCTCAATTTCTTAGGTAAGTGACCCCACATTTATACACTAAGACACAGATAATACAATTCACTGGTATGCTGTAATTTTGACATATGTGCATCTGTTGCTCTAAGTCTGTACACAGAATGGCTTCCCAAATGTGGACGTGTCTTGCACTAGTTAGAAGGCAATTTTATAAAAAATAGCAGGAGCAAAACTGGACTTCTGCTCCCATAAGTCACCTGTCTAGAGTTACTACATAAGAAGATAACATGACCAAAGACAAGTTATACCAAATGTGCAAAACACATTAAAAGTGAGTTTGTTTTTTTTAAAGCTCAAAGTTGTTTAAATTGCACCCAAGTCTACATGATTCAAAAATAAGTTTCTTGTGCCATGGCTAATATTTATTAAATACCATGTTTTTATTTTTAATCAAATGTTTCTATCATTGAGCTTCTTCAATATACTCCTTTTGAGTTTTCACATATATGGATACTGGCTGAGTTTTGTTGGACTCAATGGAAATCCAGTATATGCAGGTGATGCTGCAATGTAAGAATGTGGTGGGAAGATTGGTTTGTACTGAGTCTGATGAATAGTTGGGGATGGTAACAGGCGGGGATTTATGCCCACTGGGACCTGGTGAACTATGCCACTAGGATGGGATATATTGTAAGTTGGATGCTGTAACATAGGTCTTGAGGTACATGGAGAGGCTAAGAGGTGGGCCACTGGTGCAGCACTAGTGAGGGTAGCTGATGATGGGTATGGAAGTAAGGTAGGCTGTCCTCCAAGGTGTGTACTTCCAGCCAGATGAGCATGCACAGCTGTGTGATTGGGACTTCCATGAGAAAGAGTGAATGGATTACTGGTAACACTAGTAGGGATATAAGCTTGCTGTCTTCGATGTCCGAAGTTTCCATTCCATTCTTGATGCCCAGATCCGAAGTGCTGAACCTATCCAAAACAAACAAGCCAACAAAACACACTAAATACATATTTATAAGTTAAAAAGAAAAGGATAAGGGAAATTACAATAAACTGTGACTGATATCTCATAGAGGATCTCTCAGATCTTAGATTGTACTAAGTATAAATCAAGAGGGGAAAAAATGATATTATATATTAGTACTAACATTGTAATATTTATTACTACATATTATTATAATATTAACATTGCCACTACCACTGCTAGTAGTATCACTATCCCCCCACCACTAATAGCTACCATTTGAGGAATACTTATCATGCATAGAGCTAACACTTTACATACAAGACATTATTTAACCCTTTGCACTCCGAACCATTCTGGACATTGGCTACCAGCTACTTGACGCTACTTTGCGGCGGAAATGTGCATTTACAGACCCTCATATTATTTGGTATAATTTTGGAACCAAGTAATGTATTATAATGATATTGGACTTATATGAATTGGGTGACATCGAGGAATGTATATTTGCAAAAAAAACCACAATATTTTATTGTTTATAATTTTGTACAGTATGATAAGTTTTGTAACACTCCCCAATATGCATTGCAGGCTGATTAGTGCATGTTTGACAGTAATAAGTGGTTTGACGCCTGCCACCAGGTGTTTTCCTGTTAGAACACACAATGCAGTCCCGTTTTCTTTGTCCCACATCGGGAATATGTAGTTTATTGTTTAATCTGACACAAAACCCGCTGACATTTCTTGTATATATCTTAGTAATTTTACGATATTTTGATTTAATTTCTTGTGCCATTTCAAGATAAAACTTCAGGGAAACATGCATGTCTCAAAAAGTTGCGTTGAAATAACTCAATTCCCCTTAATCACTAATAAACTGCAATGTCCCCTGAGAGGGGACATCCGAGTGATATGCTAGAATTCCGATGTCCCCTGAGAGGGGACAGCGGAGTGCAAAGGGTTAATTCCAAAACAACCCCATGATATAGCTATTATTCCCATTAACTGTGGTCCATATTTGCTGAAGAGACCTGGCTAAGGTAATATTTGGCAAAACCAGGATTTGGACACAGATCTTACTCCAATAGCTGTGATCTTTTCTTTCCCCAAGTTTGGAAACTCACTGGTGAGCACCATGCTGAATAGATGGAAACATCATCTCTCACTATCACCATGACTAACACATAAGAAATGTAGCCATCAATCCATTAATGTGCATTCTGATTTAAAGGGTCTAAGAAAACAAACACACTAAAAATTATATTTAAGAGAATCTAAGAGCTTCATTCTTCTGAGGCACTCAATTTCTGTGGATAATCTGCTTAATTTTCCTATATCGGGCTTTTTACTCTTTAGTCACCTAGGATAAGGAAAGGGGTAAAATTTATTAAGATTGCAGACAGTTTCAGAATCTTTCCCCCCCAAGTGAAATACTGCTGCATTTAAATTCCAGAGGCTCTTTCTTATAAATTCACACACGACAAACGTACCTGACTGAAATTCAAATGCTGGGGCTGGAATGCTGATGTCAGTCTCTGCTGACGCGCACCCGCTGTGGAAGGCTGGTTCAATCTTCCAGGGGCACATCGCCCTTTCATTAATGGCTGGCAGAGAGAATCTGGCAATGAGCAACATGTTAAAGCATTAATGCTTTTTCCTTCTCATAGAAAAATTAGAAAGGTCTTTAGATATTTTACACAATAATGATTTGCGAAACTTAAAATTAAATAAAAAGGAAAGGGATCTGATGATTTCCAAGCACTGGATGATATAAAAAGAGATTGCTTTTGTGCAACTTTGCAAGATCAACTTGGAAATTCAGAGATGACTTTTGGTAATACTATTCTCCGTGTTCCGAAATTAAGACCTTTTAGCCATAGCCAGTTTGGTTCTATTCTGGTCAGGGGCACGTACTTCAGTTGCAGGCTCCTCCCTGGCCCAGGCCCTGGTCAGGGCTTGTGCGGGAGGCAACCAATCAATGTGTTTCACATCGATGTTTCTCTCTGTCTTTCCCTCTCTCTTCCACTCTCCCTAAAAATCAATGGAAAAAATGTCCCTAGGTGAAAAAAAAACTTTTCAGAGAGATGAAAATTAAAACCACAATGAGATATTACTTCACACCTGTCAGAATAGCTACCATCAGTAATCAACAAACAAATGCTGGGGAGGATATGGAGAAAAGGTTTGAAACCCTAGTGCAGTTTGTGGGAATGCAGACTGGTGCAACCCCTGGGGAAAACGGTATGGAGTTTCCTCAAAAAATTAAAAATGGAACTGCCTTTGGACCCAGTGATCCCACTTCTGGAAATATATCCTAAGAAACCTGAAACACCAATTCGAAAGAATATATGCACCCCTATGTTTATAGCAGCAGCATTTATAATAGTCAAGATCTGGAAAGAGCCGGATGCCTACCAGTAGATGAGTGAATAAAAAACATCTATGGTACATTTACACCATGGAATACTGTGCGGCTGTAAGAGGAAAATCTTATCTTTTGTGACAGCATGGATGGACCTGGAGATTATTATGCTAAATGAAATAAGCCAGTCAGAGAAAGACAAATACCATATGATCTCACTCACATGTCGAATCTAATCAACTAAATAAACTGATGACAAAATAGAAACAGAGGCATGGATATTGGAATAGACTGGCAGCTGTCAGAGCAAAGGGAGGAGGGGGACTGAATGAAAGGTGAAGGGGTTAACCGAAGAACATATATGCATAACCCACAGTCACAGACAACAGTGTGATGGCCAGAAGGAAGAGGGGGCAGGGGCTGGGTGGAAGTGGGCAAAGCGGGGGGAAATGGAGACATCTGTAATAGCTCCGACAATAAAAATTTTTTTAAAAAAAGACCTTTTAAGGGACTCAGCTTACCTGTGTTTGCCATATGCTCATCGGCATTTAATCCATTCTCTAGTCCCATTGGTGGCACCACAACAGTACAGACAGCTGGCTTGGTTTCTGTGTTGGAAGAGGGCACCAGTTCTGTGTTCTGATGAGTGTCCTCCACAAAACTGCTCTCTGCAAACGGACTGTCATGTCCTGAAGAGTCTGATGTTGGAGAGCCATCCACAGTATCACAACCACTTTCCTGCTCTTCATCTGACATACTACAGTAGGAAAGTACTTTTATGAATAATATGCATTTCACATTAAATGTAAAGTTAAATGATATCCAGGCTCCAGTAAATTGGTAACCAACTTATTCAATTATTTCATATCTAATTACAACTTCTTCCTTGGTCAATAACATTTTTGCCATAAATTTTTTAGACTCTCATGTTAATTCTCTCTTCAGACTGATAATCCTAATTCCTGTTTAGGAACCTCCTTTTAGCACTGGATTTTCTCTTCTTTCCTTTCCCATTTGATCCTTAGTAGCAGTTCATAAATCCCACTTTATAAATTCCAGAACTTTTCATCAAATACCACAAAAGCAGCACTCTTCTGGATAATTTAAATGACATGTACAAACATTATGGATATTTCAGATTAAATTCTAATGTTAAAATACATCTCTTTAGTGGTGCCTCGTGTCCTTTTTACTAACTAGTTATTTGAAAGGTCTTCCCCACTCCTCTGCAGGCCTAGCAAGAATCCCATTATTTCTCATCTTTTCCTGACCCTTTTGGGCCCTGACAATATCTCTCCTTGTGATTTCCACAGCATTTATTGTCTGTCTTAATCATTCAATTCGTATTTAACATTTTGAAGCCTCTCTCTCTATAGGTATATTTTAGTTACATATTTTTATTCATATATCTTATACATACATTTATATATACATGTTTTCATATGTACGTACATATTTATGTATATGTGTGTATAGTATCAACTTCCAAACCACATTATAAGCAATTTATAAGAAGATGTGGTAAAGTTACTTTGTCTTCCACAGAGCTTTGGTTATAAGTATGCAATACCTGACTAAGGAAAAGAGAAGACAAATGTATAAAATTAAGACCTAAAAGTTATTCAAATTTTGTTTTCACTTAAAAAAATATCCTAAAAGCTAAAATCAAATATATTTCGCTTAAACTTTTGTGGCAAATCACTTAATGTGTTAGCGCAGTGGTTCTCAACCTTCTGGCCCTTTAAATACAGTTCCTCATGTTGTGACCCAACCATAAAATTATTTTCGTTGCTACTTCATAACTGTAATGTTGCTACTGTTATGAATCGTAATGTAAATATCTGATATGCAGGATGGTCTTAGGCGACCCCTGTGAAAGGGTCGTTCGACCGCCAAAGGGGTCGCGACCCACAGGTTCAGAACCGCTGTGTTAGCGCATCATGCTGGCTAGAGGAAGCTCACTACTCTAGTGGCAATCCATGTTCCTGGGCAAAAGGAAGGATAGGCAAGGAAATACGGATGGAACCATGCTAATCAATCACCAATGAGAGAAAGAATCACAGCAGATATTCTGACACTGGGTCATCACTTTATTATGCAAAACAGTCTTGTTTTATTTTGACAAAGTGTATGTTCTTATTCAAAACTTAAGTTATAACAACAGTGTATGGAGCTAAAGTTGAAATTTTTGGCTTTTTACCCTTTTAAAACAGATGATTCTTTTAAAATCTTTATTATTTTAAACAACTACAAAAGAAATCATAGGCTTTTTAGTTGACTTCATATGTATTATTTAACACTATTAAAATTCCTTTACCTGTTAGGTCTCTTGCAAGGGGATGGGCTGGACTGCCCTGAGGAGCTGGTGCTCAGAGTACTATCAGGACTACTCAGTGAGCACATCCGATCGATATTCAAAGTGCTCTGGCAAGCTTCACAATCTAGACTGCCTTTACAACTAGTAAGAGAGAAGGGAGGGAAATAAAAAATGAGAAGATATTTGTCAGGTAGCCAAAATTTAATTCATCTAAGTATATGAATCAGTGAAGAGTAACCTACACAGACAAAAGCTTATAAATACGGGGAAATGCTAACCATGTTAAATACTACTTAGGAAGTTTACTCCAAAGACACTAGGTTACAGAAAGTTACTGTTCACCACACCAGGGGGCGCCATCGTTATTATTTAAGGATGCAGCATCAACACAGGAAACTGCCTCGGCACTTACTCTCTGAGAGAATGTCTCTGTGTGGTCTCTTCTTCGTCGGTGTCACTGCTGATGGTGATCACACTCACTGCGGGACTTGGGGAGTCGGCTATGATGATGGTTTGCCGCTGCTTGTCTGAAACTGATGAATCAGAGTCCTGCCTGACAGATGTTTCACAACAATTTCTTGCCTCTACTGAGTTATGATTGTCCCGTGTTTCTATACAATTCACTTCCTCGACATCTTTCCCATTTGCTATCTTTGGAGAAATAAATGCTGAATGTGGGATATTGGTATTCTGCAATGCATTACTCCTGCAATCAAAGAAATAATGTGTCATTTCTACAGTCAAAATATGAACATGACATTTTTCTAAGAAATCTTGTTAAAATGAGTAACGTGAATTTTCACTTGGTTCAGGATCATGTATATAACACACTAACATACAGATAAGTTTTGTAAAATATAAAATATTATCTCTAGAAATATTAATGTAGGTTGCATTTACTACATTCAAATGGCCATTTTTTTTGGTAAATGTGATATCTGTGTCTAAAATGGTCTAAAATTATAAGTAGGTAATATATCAAAAGGGCAATAAAGACAGTCTTACCAACTGAAAGCATTTATTTCCTCTCTTCCTGGCTCCCATTCCATTAGTTTTACCAAAATACCTCTGAGAAATTGAGAAGGGAGCTGGCTTAGTGTTTGTAACAAAGCTATCAAAGAGGTCATTTTGAATACAACAGAGTGACCCTTTAGTGTACATGCAAAATTTATCTTAAAGATTAATTCTCAAAATGCAGAGCAAAGTTAAAATATCAACACCAACCTGTTCTGGCACAGTTTATTTTTCTTGGTAGTGGCAGGCTGAGGCCAGACAACGTGTGCAATGCCCACACTAATTGGCTGAGGAGCCGATAAAGTTATCTGATTGGTTAGAAGAGGTTGCGGCATCACTGAGCTATAATGACTGCTGTGTGAAATCATTTTCCTAAGGAGAAAATTTAAAAAATTGAATCTCTTTTTTAACAAGAACTATTTTTCAAACTATTCACAAAAAAGTACTTTTGTTTCTAACTTACCCCCAGTCTCCAAGCCTTTGTGAACCAGCCACACCCTCAGAAGTTAATGTAGTGGTAGCAGGAGCCAAGGGTGTTACTTGCTGCCAGGCAGGTACCAGCATCTGCTGTGTTCTACCAGACCATGTCTGCTGCACCAAAAACAAACAAACAAGAAAAAAGAGAAGGAAGGAAAGAAGGAAAGGAGGGAGGGATGGGAGAAGAAAGAAGTTATAAATCATTCATCATTATTAGATCCTAAAATCAAAAATACATTAAACAATCATCTAATAATTTAAAAGTTAAAGTCAATAATCTACAAAGGCTTGAATTCCCATCCAGATTATTTTCATTGTTTCCCAACATCACAGACTGATATTTTACAAATAGATCAGTACCCCTACTTGAGTATAAGGAGGACAGCACATATGCAGAAAGGATGAATTATTACCAACCTGAGAAAGAACTCCTGGTCGGATCTGGAGTGGCTGCACAGCTGTGGCCTGAGTTACAAGTGGAACTGTATTATCTACCCTTATTGAATAACTAGTGGGTTTACCATGCGTTGTAGGAATACCTGTGAAATAGAAAAGAATAGTTCTCAAACGTAAGTTAACTCAGAGAAAGAATTTTTCTTCCTAAACTCTTATAAATTTAAACAATTGTTTAAATTCTGATTTAAATTGTAAAACCATCTCCTACATAACATTTTCATTAACACTAACAAAGTAATCTATTAGGAAAGCAATGTACATTTTATCTAACTTCTGGTACATTCTTATAAAGCAATTTGTTGCAGCAGTTACTTTCAATATAGGTTGGCAGATTGTTTAATACAATCAATTTTAGATAAAAGTGATCTTAGGTATATTTGATTGGCCATTAGAGAAAAATATAATTGTCTTCTTTTCCTACTGAAAAATAACTTTACAATTTTTATTGCATGAATATATTTAAGTGTTAACCCTAAAGAGGAGGGTACTATGCTAATAAGTAAAATAAGTCAGACAGAAAAAGACAAATACTGTATGATTTCACCTATATGTGGACTCTAAAGAACAAAATAAATAAGCAGACAAATAGAAACAGACTCACACATATAGAGAAAAGACTGATGGTTGTCAGAAGGGAGGGGGTTGGGGAGCTAGGTAAAAGGTGAAGAGATTAGGAAGTAAAAAATAGTAGTTATAAAACAGTCATGGGGATATAAAGTACAGCACAGGGAATATAGTCAAAAATATTGTAACAAGTATGTATGGTGCCAGGTGGGTACTGGAAATATTGAGGGGATCACTTTGTAAAGTTATGTGATTGTCTAACCACTGTGCATATACCTGAAACTAATACAAAATAACACTGAAAGTCAACTATAATTGAAAAAGAAAAATTTTAAAACTCCAAAGGGGAAAGTTTATTTTGTTGCGTTTATTTTCTGCACAGAGGAGTTTATCTTACTGCCTGGGTATTCTACCCTCTGAGCTCCACCTAAAGAACTAGATCTGAATTAAATTTAACAAAAATCTACAGGTTATTTTTATAAACTGACTTTCTTGCCCCTTCAAAAAAGCATGTCTTGATCAGCAAATTATCCAAGAAAAGGACTATAAGCACACTCAGCAATGTAGATATATTGCAGCATAGACAATCTCATAATTCACTTTAACAAGGATTAAAGAACAGCAAATTCTCAAATCCCAACAAAAATCACACTGCCCTTAAATTTTCCTCATAATTAATATTTTAAGAAGAATTCTCCTATTATCTTCTCCCCTGAAGAGGTCTAATTATTTTTATCAAGTGTTAACATTTGTTGAATCTAGGGTAAAAGGTATATTTTTTGAACTTTTCTATATGCTTAAAATTTTTATAATACATAGTTGAGAAAAATCAAGTAAATAAACACAGCAAAACCTTTCAGAGTACTGACAATATAATGATGTGGGTATTTTCATTTTCATTATTAGAGACCAGCCACGAGTCACTGTCACAGGAACAGTCCACCACTGGACCACAAGCTCATCTTGCGAAGCAATCATCTAAGTTGTTGTTTTTTATATTTTCAGCGATACAAACCTTCCCCTCAATAAAACCTTATATGAAAACCCAATATATATACATAAAAGATGAAAGTAAAGCTACATGGGTAAAACAAAAGTGGCTATAGAGTTGACATGTTTTCATATCTCTTGTTACCAGCCAATCAAGGCAACAAACATATTTTCTTGGTGCTTTGTTAAGCATTGTGGTAGATTTTTAAAAAATTTTTAAATTGCTTAAATTCTTAAATCAAATATAAAATTCAAATAACCTTCAGAATCCAGAAATATTAAGAGCTAGAAACGACTAAGACAATATCTATTCAGCCTGTTTCCTTTGATTAAGACTGAAACAGGTTAACAAATGTGTCTATAACACAGCAAATCAGAGAAACAGAACTATATCCCAGGTGTACAGACTTAGCAACAATTTTTCCTTACACCATACATACCTATACATACAGTATTAACATCATGTTTCAAAGGGTTAGTTAGGGCCCCAATTATAATTAACCTCTTGCTTTAAGATATAACTAGATGTTAAATCTTAACAAGAATAATATGCTATGAAAGGACTAGGAAGTAGGGTTTTATTCTCGTTATTCCAATCACACCTGCTGCTATCACCCACTAAGAACCACTAAGAAATTCCCCTTTGAGAATTTATGGGCTCTTCAAAGGAATTCTGCCACCCATCACACTTGAAGATTTAATTTGATATTTTTATCTACCTAAGGGATTTGATTTAGTCAAAATCAATCCTTTTAAAAAACAAAAATCTAAGATATGGTTCAAGAACAAGACTATAACATCTGGGACAGAATTCCTTTGACCAAAACTTAAACAGGACGACCCATAGCTTTCAAGCTCATTAATTTCTACTTAGGTATTTTATCGTGCTAGACTCTACAGGAAATACAACTGTCATATGACCCGTTCTGTCAACGATGAAATGTCACTGGTCTAAGGGCTACTGACAAGCTTAAATTAAATTCAAATGTAGCACTAATAGTAGCAAAAACTGTACAGTATATTTAAGAAATAATTAAATTTGTTTAAGAATACCGCATGCCTAAATTCAAAATGTAATTTAATTGAAAGAATACCTTGGATAGCTGGGGGGCAGATAATCAGTGTCTGTTGAAAAGCATCACCACAACCAAAATGAGCAGTTCCAGCCTGCAGAGGAATTCCATGGTGCACAACAGAGTGTGCAGATGTGGTTAGTGCCTGAAATGAGCAATGTACGTGGCATTATACAGAGCAGTCTTCTTGTTGCTACACACATGCTTTATAAAGAGAATTAAAACACATTTCTTAAAACCTTAATTCTATGATAAAAATGGGTCCAGACACTGACTTTACTGAGTTCTACTAGTCATAGAGTTGTGGCACAGAGGGCAAGTAGAGGATATTGAAAGAATGAAAGGTGAGAAGAAACAAATGAATTTGGGTAGGTCTGTTCCAGTTGTTCCCTGAAATATTAGATATTTAATAGAACAGCCATAGAAGACCTCACCAGCACTGTACCTTCTAACTGCTGACATGAGACTTCAAAAGCAAAATGAGCAATCATAAAAAAATATAAATTCTTAGATTCTTACCTGACTTCTTAATGTGCCGAGTTTAGTAAAACTTGCTGCCAGATTAGCTGTACTATTTGAAGAAACTGGTCTTAAAAATGAAGTTTTATTGTGATTATTTGTGTCACATGAATTTGGGTGAGACTTACAAATATCCATAATATGAAAACAGGACTTTACACTGCAAAACAAAAACAAAAAAGTGGAGGGAGATGTCACTGTAATATTATTTTAAATGTATAGAATAGTTTAAAATCAATGTACATTAATTTAAAAATTATTTCCAAAGGAAAAAGATTCTATGACTTGCACTTAATCTGCTTATTTCCAATACTGTTTCTACCAGAAAATCCTACAAGATTTAATTTTAAATCAAGCAAAAGTGTTATCTTATATCTGCAATATTTTTTAAGACAAAAAAGCAACAATAAGCATTTTTCTTGTTAGTACACTATCATTTTATGACCCCCCTCCACCCTAAATAATTTTTCCTAAATTTCTAGATCTCCACGTCCCTAAATTAATGGTACCAATTATGGAGTTATCATGTTATTTTCAAAGTGTTTATATATGGAAACCACTAGACATTTCTTAAGTATGGAGGGGTGGAGATAGTAGTTCAACTTTATAAAAATACCAATTTTGCCTGGCCAGTATGGCTCAGTGGTGGGACATCAACCCATGAACCAGGAGGTCACAGTTCCATTCCCAGTCAGGGAACATGCCTATATTGCAGGGTCAATCCCCAGTAGGGGTGTGCAATTTTAAGGGTAATCCACAAATAGCAGATATCAGTTATCCCTATACCTTCTTCATACAGTCTTTCTAAAATATTAACAGATGTTGTTTTAAATCATATACTTTATCCCTTCAGCTTATTAAAATAAAAAAGGTCTGGGGTTCAAAGAATTTGCAAGATCCGCCTAAGGTAATTCTGTTAAGGCCTTCTCAATTTGAGAACACATTTTTCTCTACTGCCCCATTAAACAAAACCTCCTTTCCTTCCTTTCCTTCCACAACACAGGAGAAAAGAGGGAGGGGAGGAAAGCAAATGGTATGAAGGGAAATTGAAAATAGAGTTTGGGGGACTCAAAAGAGAAATAACTGTTAACATTTCCTGCTAATATATGCTAATATATACATACACACACACACACACACACACACACACACACAACCTGGTTATTAAGATAAGACTATCATATAAAAACAAAACAACTCAGTCATTTCCAATATAGTGTTTTGGAAAAAGAACACTGGAGTGCAATTGAGATTTATGGTCTAGTTCAACTCTGCCACTTACTAGCCCATGTGACCTTGGCCAAGTTAGTGTGACTTCTTTTGACTCAATTGCTTATATTTAATAAAGAAATTGAATCGTTTTTAACACACTAATTTTTTATAGACAGTATTATTATTTTCCCAGAATCACTTTTAAAAAGATTTTAAAGTAACATACTGGTTGCTATGAGGAAAATCTAGAAGATGTTTCATATTAACAAAAGGATGGTTCAACGTTTCAGCTGGAGTAATTCTTAAATCTGCATCGATCAGCAACATTTTCTTTAACAGACTAACAAATTCTCTTCTATCAGCTTTCTCAGCCAAAAGATCACTTCCTTCCAAATCCATCACTGTGTTCACCTGCAAAATCAAAATTTCAAGTCATCAAATAAAAATAAGCCATAGCATATGCTAAAATTCCAGTTAAAAAAAATACACAACATAGAAAAGAACGAAGAACTATAATTATTTTGAAACAAGAAAGAACAATTGAGTTGAACAAATTCTCAAAATGTTTTCAAGCATCAAATAGGGTTCAAAGAAGGAAATAAACCTTTTCCCTAAACAAACCCTTTCCTAATGAGGAATAAAGAAAAGAAATTGGTTTGCTAGGATTTTCCCTTTTAAAGAAAAAAGAAATTTTTTTTAACTAAAGAACAGGATTGTATAAATTACTTAATAAAGACAAATGCAATTTAGTTCCTGAAAGATTAAAACCTTAAAATCGCCGAAACCGGTTTGGCTCAATAGATGGAGCGTTGGCCTGTGGACTGAAGGGTCCCAGGTTCGATTCCGGTCAAGGGCATGTACTTGGGTTGCAGGCACATCCCCAGTGGGAGATGTGCAGGAGGCAGCTGATCGATGTTTCTCTCTCATCGATGTTTCTAACTCTCTATCTCTCTCCCTTCCTCTCTGTAAAAAATCAATAAAATATATTTTAAAAACAAACAAACAAACAAAAAAAACCTTAAAATCAATTTTGTCTGAAAGGGTTAAAAACAGCAAGCATTCTATAGTCATTTAGAAAATGATATTTTCATATCCTTGACAATCAAGCCCAACACCTTCAGCATGAAAGATTCACAACTGTGACTGTGGTACTCACATGCACTATATCATCCAGACTGTTGAATATGTACTTTCTGGCTTCTTTAGACTTCATTCCTGTCTCTGCCTCATGTTCTTCTAGTGTCTTATTGAATATACCAAAGAGGGAAAATAGTATGTTATTACCCATCACTTGTAAATTCTTTATTTCTTTAATTCTGGCATATTTAGTCTAATATATTGAATATTCTAAGGCAGTGGTTCCCAATCTTTTTTTGGACATACCCCGCCTAAGCATCTCTAAAATCCTGACATATAATTCTTATTATTCAGAAAGTGAACTCCTATTTACGTGGAGGAGGCCTAAAAGGCCATTAACTTGATCTAAACAAGCTTCCAAAGAAGAACATGGCATCCATGAAAGAGAAAAATAAAAGAACCAAAGGACACAGTTGAAGTACTGAGGAAGAAATCACTAAGAAATTGTTAAAAATATATATTATTATTATTAATATGAAGTGATATGAGACAAATAGCAAATAAAGTTTCAAAACATGTAATAGCCCTAGCTGGTTTGGCTCAGTGGATAGAGCAACAGCCTGAGGACTGAAGGGTCCCGGGTTGGATTCCAGTCAAGGGCACATGCCTGGGTTTCGGGCTTGATCCCCAGCAGTGGGTGTGCAGGAGGCAGCCGATCAAATGATTCTCTCTCATTGATGTTTCTCTCTCTCTCCCTTTCCCTTCCTCTCTGAAATCAATAAAAATATATATATATAAAATTTTTAAAACATAATAGAGAACTGAAATACACAAATATGTCACAATATATATTTATACAATGTATATGAGGTCCCTAGAACCATAAGAAATGCAAAAAATTCACTGTTAATAACTCATTCTTGAATTGCCCCCCTTAAAAATGAAATTACCCCCCTGTGGGGCCTATGTCCCACGTTTGGAATTACTGTTTTAAGAGAAGTAGTAGTTTCAAAGGAATAACTACCATAAATGTATGTTTTTTTAAGTACAAAAAAATTAAAAGATTAAAAGAGCTTGGTTCAGGTAAAAAAAAAAAAACATATACATACAACAAATTCCTTAAACAAAATAATTACAAAGTTAATATTACATTGAGGATTTGTTGATCCCCCAAAGATCCAAGAATAAATTCAGTACTTGGGTTATGTACTAAGGGGTTAGATTCAGTGCTTTTCCTATAAAGCTTAATAATGTAGACCTGGATAAAGAAGATTAAACACACAGAACACAAGTAATTATACTCATAAAATTTTTTAAAAAATCATTTAAGATGAGTTAATAATTATGTTGCCAGGTAAGAGAATGAGCTAAGTCATTCAAAAAAAGGGCTTTCCTCCTTATGGGGCGGAGGGAGGGGTATGTATGTCAAAAATGAAAATTAAAAAGAAGGAAAAATGCAATAAAATAAAAATAAGCATGGAGGGCATTATCTATGCACATGAGACTATATATATATATATATATATATATATATATATAGAGAGAGAGAGAGAGAGAGAGAGAGATTTAAATGAATTACCTTTAATCTCCAACCAGAATGAGAAATATCTGTTTCTCTGCAAAAAAATCTTGTGGATTTTGTACCCACATTTAACAACTGTTCTCCTGGTAAACCTTGAGTCTGAGAAATGTATCGAATCTGAAAAATAATTTACAGAACATCAGAGTTTATTCTTTCATGCAACAGATATTAATTGAATACCTATTAAATATCAGACATTATGCTAGGTATCAGGTCAAGAATTAAATGATATAGTCTGTGCCCTCGAGAAATTCACAGTCTAGTGGGGAATATACAAGTCAACAATTATAATGCAGTTATAAGTATCATATAATTATTATAAATACCATAATAAATGCATGCTTTATGTAAAGACACAGAAAGGAAGGGATACCTAAAATAATTCTAGTTCCAGAAAGTTCCAGAAGAGGTGATGCTCAAGTTGGGTCTTAAAGAACAAATAGAGTTTGTTAGCCCTGGAGGAGTGGGGAAAATCTAATCTATTATGGTTTGTGTTAATGTTATAATATGAGTAAATACAGAAAATCAGGAGAAGATGCCCACACATTCAGAGTGGAAGCACAGAGGTTCAATAAGGGAGAAATGGCAAGAGATGAAATTGAACTAGAGGCAAAAGGATTTTATTTACTCCAGGAGGTAATAATAATGGGAAACCACTGGAGACATCTAGGCAGGAAATTGACAAGTTACATTTTTAACATCTAAGAATGGTGAGAAGCTGAAGCCAGAGGAGAGATGAGGAGGGCGTGAGTTAGACTGTAGGGACAGAAAGGAAGGAGTGGATTTAAGAGAGACTTAGATTGACAGAGGCTTGGTGAATTATGACTGTGGGAGCACTGGAGCGACCACATCTATGTCACTGGCTTGACTGAGTCAGTAGCAGTAGAGAGAGGGGTATAGATGAGCACTCACAGAATACTGAAAAGTTCCAGCCTCAGGGCTCTGAACTTAATATCCTTCTGTTTGGAACACTCTTTGCCCAGACATCTGTATGGCTCATCTTTCACTTCCTTCAGCTCTCAGCTCAAATGTCACCTTATTCATGAAGCCTCCCATGACCCACCAATAAATAATAAGCTCTTCCCTCTTCAGTAACCCTTATCTTCCTTACTCTGTTGTATTGTTCTCCACCATGCTTTCTAACAGCTGATACTCTCCATGATTACTTTCTATTTTCTTACCCGACTCTCCATGAGAATGTGAAGTTTCATGAAGAGAAGAGCTTTGTTTTGTTAACTTAAATATACACCCATGATAATGTCTGATACATAGTAGGCCCTCAAATATCTGTTCCCCAATTTAATGGCTAAGCAGCACAGGGAATAAAAAGAGGCTTAACTCCTCTAAACTGTGTTTGAGAACAACAGGATTCTCATTTTTTAAACCTCAAGGACTCTGCTCTATCAATTAATCCATCCTCCCCCTGCATATTCTATTTGTTCCTCTCTCTGAGATCATTCCCCTCAATTTACATAAATGATTAATATCTTCTATCCCCCTCAAAATTTCCTTTAACTATTTGAAATTCTTTCCTCATTCACTTAAAGGTCTTCAAATAGTAGCCTATATCTTACTTCTCATCTCAACACACTACAATTTGAATTTTACTATCGCTCCCATAATATGGTTAAGGCAAGTAATGGCCTGTTAATAACTGACATATTAGTAGTCCCATATTAATCCTTTTTCTACCTTGATACTATTACCCATTACCTTTTTACTTAAAAACTCTGTTCCTTCCATTTCCACATTTTTTCTGGTTCTCCTCTTAATTCTTGACACTCTTTAATTGCCTTCCTCCATATGACATTGCCTTCCAGAGTTTTATGTCTTCTTCCTTCCCTCTACAAGCCCCAAGTGTCCCTAGTTTTATCTCTAAATCTAAATATTTATCTCTTGCTCTGGAGCTGTAGATTCAGCTGCTTATTGAAACTCTCCAATCAGCTGGCCTTTAGGTACTTCAAAGTGAACATATTCTAAACTGATTTTCCCTAAAATCTGTTAATTCTCATGTCTTCCCCCTTTGATAAACAGAAACCCAACCACACAAATCAGAAACTTTGTCTGATTTATGCCAGACAAGTCTCTCTCCCTCATCACCCTCCCCCAACATCCAAAACCGTAGCCATTTTACCCCATTGGCACTTTTCTTAACTGCCCCTCCTCCCCATCCCTATTTCAGGTCTTCTTCAATTCTGAGCTATGCAATTTCACACTGCCTCCCTAATGACCCCATCCATGCAGCCCCAATTTATTATTCACACTGCTAAAGCACTATTACTGAAATGGACACAGTCCAATAATATAAACATGATGCAAAAAAAATCTCCCATGAACTTTACAAAACTGGTTTTTGGGCCTGTGGACTCAAGCTTTGTTTATGAAATATACTTAGTGTTATAAAAGAGTTTTTAAAAATCAAACACAGTTTTGAGATTTTGAATTTAAAATCCACAAGATCTCAGGTCTAGCCATTTTATTTTTAAAAGATTTTCCACATGTATTGTGTACCTAAAGAAATGCATTCTTAGTAGTCTATTTTTTTTTCTTTACAATCTACCAATTCTACTAGATTATCTTGACAGATCTGTTACCTGGTCATACTCCAATGCTCCTGGGTAGAGCGGCCATCCAAGGAATAATTCTGCAATCACGCATCCCAATGACCACATGTCTATGGCTTCACAAAATGGCAGCCCCAATATAATCTCTGGAGCTCTGAAATTAAAAAAATAAAAAAATCAGAATGGGTTTCCTACAGTGGGTCTCAACCTTCTGGCCCTTTAAATACAGTTCCTCATGTTGTGACCCAACCATAAAAGTATTTTCGTTGCTACTTCATAACTGTAATGTTGCTACTGTTATGAATCGTAATGTAAATATCTGATATGCAGGATGGTCTTGGGCGACCCCTGTGAAAGAGTCGTTCGACCGCCAAAGGGGTCGCGACCCACAGGTTGAGAACCGCTGCTTTAAAAGTATCTGATTTCATCTGACATTCTAAGGAAAGTTAATAAATGACAGAAAAAAATACCTTCTATTTATAGTAACTCTTCACTTTTCAGAACTCTTTGAAACCTAGTCATAATCCTGAATTAAGCTTTAGAAGGTGCACTATGTACAATATTGCTATGATAAAATATCTACACTTACACCTCATGGTTTTATTAACATAACATTAAAAAGCAAAAAGCATACACTTGGTTTTGAGACTACAGCAGATTAGATATAAAACACTAGAAAGAAAACTGGCAAACTATTAAATACATGCACTATGACATCAACAGAACTGAAAACCAGACGTTGAGAGATAAGACCAAAACAAAATAAAACCCCAAAGGCTACAAGTGAATCTAGACTTAGATAATATTTCAGAACAGGATAATAAATATTCACATAATTAGAGACATTAGTCATCCAAAAGAGACAAGACCAAGTTCCATGTATTCTGCTTTAAAAGGCAAAAAAGTAGAGGATATATCAAAACAGTTAAAAAGCATTTTAGCACTTAACGAGCTTTGATTATTTAGAAAAATGTATTCCATGAAAGATATCATTCCCACATAAATTACGTTGCTACTTCACATAGCTTTCCCATGAGAAGATTAACAACCTATGACAGGCTCCACATAAAGCTATGTAACTCCAAAGTCATACATTCATAGTTTACTAGATTTGCATGTTCGTATTTTCTATTTTAAAAACAATCTCAAATTTACAGAGATGTTGTAAGAATAGTATAATGAAAATTTTTTCCTGAACCACTGAAGAACAATTTGCCAAATAACTATATACTTTGTATTTCCTACAAACAGGAATTTTCTCTTAAATAACTACAATACCATCATCAAAATCAGGAAATGAACACTGATACATCTCTACATCTAAGCCTCAGACTCAAAATTTGGCTAATTATATTAATAATGTCCAAGTCAGAATCATGCATTGCATTAGGTTGTCTTATCTCTTTCAGTCTTTTTCTTTTTTATATTTAAATATATAAATATATATATGTTTTAATATATTTTTACTCATTTCAGAGAGGAAGGGAGAGGGAGGGAGAGATAAAACACCAATGATGGTGAGAGAGAATTATTGATTGGCTGCCTCCTGCATGCCCTTTACTGGGGATGAGCCTGCAACCCGGGCATGTGCCCTGACTAGGAATCGAACCGTGACCTCCTGGTTCATAGGTGGATGCTCAACCACTGAGCCATACCAGTCAGGCTCTTTTAGTCTTTTTCAATGTGAAATAGATCCTTACTTGACCTTGGCTGAGACATTACAGACAAGTTATTATAAAATGTCCCCCTTAATGTGGATCTGTCTGATGTTTACTCATAATTATATCTGGGTTATAAATCTTTAAGAGGAATATTACGGAATTAATGTTTTCTCATTATATGCTATCAAATAGCATACAATTTTGATTGTTCCTTTACTGATAATGTTCACTTTGATTACTTGGTTAACATGGTGTCTACTAGATTATCACCATTATTTTGTGTGCCATAAAATATTATCATTTCTATGTGTATCATTACATGTAAAAGACTGGGAAGCAATACCTTAAAGCACTCATAATCTAGATGAAACTGTCAGCGATGTCAGAGTTCTACCAGCTAGTCTTACAATAAAATAAACTCTAAGAATTGAACTATGCATGAAAGAATAATATATCCCTCAGCAATGAATCAAGCTTACATTTTTAGTTACTTCTTGTTTCTCAAATTCTTCCCCTGAGCTAAATATACTTTTCTATAAAAATGATCATAGCAGGGATTGATATGTGCAACATTCTTAAAATAAATTTTCTGTTCTCCTAAAGGGAGTTCTTCCACTTCCTTTGCAATCTACCTTAACTCCCTTCTGAGCACCAACAATGTGGCAGTGCCAAGGATACAGAGGGAATAAACATCATTTGAACTTTTGCAGAACAGGCAAGGCACACATTGAACATGTCTACTGAATGGAGACTATAAATAAACCTGTTTACCACTCTATCACAATTAGCAGGCAAGTGTCAAAACCACAAACAAGCTCAAAAAATTAGGCCATATGCTAAAAAAGGCAATCTCTACCTCAAATGCTGTTTGTTTGTTTTTTTTCATGTGCTTTCAATGAAATTTATCATTATTCATTAAGACCAAATCCTTTCTACTTTTTCTAAACCTTGAAACAGTGACATAAAATATAAAGTGGGTAAGCTGAAAACTTTTTTAAGTGGTAAACTAAACTCTAGATGGTTTGCAGGACTTTTGCTAGACCCCAGAAGGGAATGTTGGCAGTACATGCCTCAAATAAAAACATAGTGAAGCACTGTCACTCAGAAAAGATGACGATTAATGGAATATTTTATTTATGTAACTTTTACTTTTTAAACTGAAAATTCAACTACTGACAGAAGAAACCCAGCCTTGTTAGACCGGACAGCCGAACGACCTTCCGAATGTCCTTCTGGACGAACTTCTGGACAAAGCCAGGGCTGTGAGGGCCAAGGCAAGCTGCAGTGGCTGCGAGGGCTGAGCCACTTGCACGAATTTCTTGCATCGAGCCTCTGGTGTTCTTATAATAGAGAGAGGTGCTTGAAGTTACCACGGAAAATGCCATTAAACTATGAATTCATGTGATGATTTCATGGCTATCATAAAATGGCTACTAACTTAGTTTTTCCACAGACAGAGAATATATCAGTTAGGCCAACAAGAACATCAGTATAGTACTGCTAGTCTTTAGCTTCTTATGACTCTAGTGACAGAACAACACAGGTCCAGTCAGGTCTAGCACACTGATCAAACAATTTCTGAAATGACAAAGCTTATGATTCTCTCGGGTAACGTCCCTCAATAAGACTGCAAGGTGCAGCTATCTAGGCTTCTCTTGATGATGCTCCTATGCAAACATATATCTACATACTTCTCTAGTTCTGACAATAAGATACCAGAGAAAAGCAACAGAAACCTGAAAATAGTAAACTCAATAAAGATAAAAATACTAAAATAAGGATGGTCTTCTCTGAGATAAAGATGCAGAACGCATTTTTTTAAGTAACAGTTTTATTAAAATACTAGAGGCCCAGTGCACAAAATTTGTGCATTGGAGGGGGGTGGTGGGGTCCCTCAGCCTGGCCTGCGCCCTCTCACAGTCCGGGACCCCTCGGGGGATGTCTGCTGAGGGATCCTTACCGCTCCTGCCACTGCAGCTGCGCTCACCAGCCATGAGCCCAGCGTCTGGCTGAGCAGCGCACCCCCTGTGGGAGTGCACTGACCACCAGGGGGCAGCTCCTGCATTGAGCATCTGCCTCCGGTGGTCAGTGCGCGTCATAGCAACTGGTCATTCCACTGTTTGGTTGATTTGCATATTAGGGTTTTATTATATAGGATAATTGACATACCATATAATTCACCCATTTAAGTGGTAAAATTTAATGGTTTTTAGTATGTTCACAGAATTGTGCAACCACCATCACCCAGCCTTGGTAGGAAAAGATGTTTCTCATTTTTATCACCCCAAAGAAACCCTATATCCATTAGCAGTCACTCCTCATTTGTCCCAAATTCCTCCATTCCTAGGTCATCACAAATCTACCTTCTGTCTCTTTAGATTTGCCTATTCTGGACATTTCATACAAAGGAAATAAAACAACATGTGGTCTTTTGTGACTTGTTTCTTTCACTTGGCATAATGTTTTCAATGTTCAACCACGTTGTAGCTTGTATCAGTACTTCATTTTTTTTAATTAAGAATGACAATGTTAAAGATGGGAGTATCTTTATTTTTTAAAATATATTTTATTGATTTTTTACAGAGAGGAGAGGAGAGGGATAGAGAGTTAGAAACATCGATGAGAGAGAAACACCAATCAGCTGCCTCCTGCACACCTCCCACTGGGGATGTGCCCACAACCAAGGTACAGGCCCTTGACCGGAATCGAACCTGGGAACCTTTAGTCCGCAGGCCGACCCTCTATCCACTGAGCCAAACCAGTTAGGGCAGTACTTCATTTTTTACTGCTGAATAGTATTCCATTGTATGGATATACCATAATTATTTATCCATTCATCAGGTGATGGACATTTCAATTGTTTCCACTTCTGGGCTATTATGAAAAATGAGAACTTAAGCAAGAGAAGCCATGTCAGTTCACCAGCCTACTGAGCAAGAATACACTCCAGTGCTAAAGATGGTCAGAGCACAGTCTATACACCAAACACAGTACATATTGCCTAGGACAGAACTAGCCAGTACAGAAATGCCTTTGATGGAATATACAGTATATCCAAAAGGGAAAAGAAGGTACTAGTGTTAAAAGAACTATTGATATTTCTACTTTGTTCAATGAATCAGGCTTTATGAGTTAATCTTGTACAGGTATACCCCTTTATCAAACTTCTAGAGCACTAAAATAATAAGAACCCCCTGTCCATATAATGGCAATCCTATATAATAATGCAAATCAACCAAACTGTGGAACGACCCATCGCTATGACGCGCACTGACCACCAGGGGACACTCAACGCAGGAGTTGCCCCCTGGTGGTCAGTGTGCCCCCACGGGGGAGGGGGACACCACTCAGCCAGAAGCCAGGCTCACAGCTGGCCAGCACAGCGGTGGTGGCGGGAGCCTCTCCTGCCTCCATGGCAGCACTAAGCTGTCAGTCGGAATCCCCCTAGGGCTCCCAGACTGCCAGAGGGCACAGGCTGGGCTGAGGGACCCCC